CATGATTCAGGAACTAATTAACAGCTATTAGATAATGCAATTAGCGCCACAAACTGCCACCCTACACCCTAAGTATACCTTCCCTTTGTGAGCGTGAGCCATAAATGTCTAGCATCTTCTGTTCCCTCTCTTGTCTCCCTCCTCTCCTCCTTGTGGTGGTGGCTGCACAAACTGCCCAGCCCCACATCACATCAGCAGTTTGACCTGACAGGATTAATCCCATTTAGACTTTTACACTTCCTGCACTTTTAGGAAGGCCAAGACAAGCAGGGGGCTGGCAGTAGGCTGGCCGGGCTCTTTCCAAATGTGATACCAAAGGTGATGTGCCCGGGCCCAGCCTTTGGCACCCAGACAGAGCAGGGGGTGATGTGTGCCTTCTCCTGGAATGTGCCTGTGGTGGAGGGGGCCACCTTCCCTCCCTCCTGGAGACAGGCAGCACTCAGAGTCCCACAGGATCCATCCAGCCAGGAGCTGACAGCCACAGCCCCTCCATCCTGTCCCTGGGTTCGAGGTCGCTTTCAATTTTGCTGTTGCTCCAAACCCATTTCCTCTGGGAGCAGCTCACGCTCATAGGTGTCCGCTAAAGCACGGTGTTCTCTGATTCCTCTCCCTGTACACATCTTCCTCCCCAGACTGGTGTGCAAGTGTGGGGCTTGCTTTATGATGGGTTCCTTGCAGAGCTCTGCTCATTCCCCGAGGCTTTGCTTCAACTGCATGTGAACCAGACATAGCTTTGCCCCACACTTGCACCTGCTCCCTGTGTATCCCCAGCCCTGAAGATGATGCTGAGATGAGGGCAGTGTCAAAACTCTGGTGGTGACATGTGGGATAGGGGTTGTGGAGCAGAGGGAGGCTGTGCAGTACAGGGAGAAGAGGCAGGGAATGTGGGGCAGCAGGGCTGCTTGCTCCAGGAGCTCATCCCACAGCTTGAGGTGCCACCATCACATGGGTGTGTGTAAATACCAGCCTCTCCCATTGCCTTTGCTGTGCTGGTGCACAGAGTGGCCAGCTCCTTCCACACCAGGAGCAGCAGGGGTGGAAAGGAGCTAAACCCTCCATCCCACGTGAGCTGAGTGCTCAGCAGGTGCTCAGTCACGAACTGCAGCCGATGGAGCACCAGCCTCCAGCTACTGCAGATTCTTGGGTACAGGATGGTCACCAGCAGTCCATGACTCCTCTCCTATCTGGCAAGAGGCTGTGAGGCAGTTCATAGGAGCTGACAAGCTGGGAAGGCTTGCTGGAGAGGCATGAGGTGCAGCAAGGAAATAGCAGGAGTTTTCTGCTGTGGTCTCGAGTGTCACCCTGTAAAAGAGCACTGGCTATGCTCTTGCTCTGGAGTTGAATCCTCACACTAGAGGTGTCACACCCATGATTGCAGGCAGCAGTTGAGACCCCGCTGTGTCCACTGCCCGCAGTAGTTGGGTTCCACCCAAATTATAATTTTCTCTGCTTGTATCTGTGGCTGTGTGGGAAGGGAAAGGTTTTTCCCTTGGGGACCACTGCAGCAGCCACAGAAACTCTTGGACCAGAGGATGCTATCAGTAAAGAGTTGGAGTCTCCAAATGGCTTTGATGGAGAGGAAAAAACCAGCTGTAAATCACTGCCAAAAGTCTGAGGGAGTTTGCTGTAGCTGGCTGGTGCAACCAGGTGTGGGAGAGCAGCCACTGAGCACTGCAAAGAATGGTTGTGTGCAGGCTGAAAAGCCAACTGGTGTCACGGGTAGGTAGGGGTTCCAGCCCCAGATCCTTTCTGAAGTGATCTCTCAGCTTTGTCAAGGCCATATCTCCTCCCTGTCTGTGGTGTCATCATGAAAGTAGGGTGCAAAAGGCAATGGAGACAGAGAGGGTGATGTAGGATGGGGGCTGTGAGATGGGAGAGAGAGAAGTGCACTCCTGGAGGTACAGGGAGCAAGCACTGGGCACTGGAGTACATAAGGAAGGCATTTAGTGGAGAGACACCAAGTCCTGGAGAGGTCCCTTGGTGTCTGCTGTCACAGCACTGGGAGCAGTGATGCAGCTGGCATGAGGGTGGAGATGGCATCACACTGGTGAGTTTGTTGCAGCTTCACAGCTCTCCTGTGTGCTCTCTCCATCTTTGGACACATGATAGGAATGCTAACAGAAATGTGACTGCCTGGGGGCTGTGCCCCCACCCAGGCCCTTCCCACGTAGCCTGGATGCTCTCTATTCCTAGTGCCCATACAGACATGATTCATGGCTTGGTCAGCTGCACACACCTACGAAATTTGTAGCATCTTTGGCCCTTTCCCAGCTCCAGACTGGGCTGCCTCCTCTGCTGGAAGACAAAGGCAGTGCCAAGCGGTCCCAGTGAGTTCAGAGAAGGTGTTGGAGACAGAAGAGTGAGACAGGGGGGTAGAGAGCAGAAAATGGGAAAGAAGGGATGTCTGGTGGTCTGCAGTATGGCAGAGAACAGCCAGGGGATCTGAGGCGAGGGTGAGTGTTGTACACAGCTCCCAGCTCGCACTGTTGCTCTGTCTGTGTTGTTGTATGTTATCTTCACACCTTTAAGAATTTTCAGTCTTCCTCCTTCCCTCACACGGGGTGTTACTTTATTTTTGCTGTTAGGTGAAGGCTTATTTTCACAGTGCACAGTGTTTAAGCCCTGCACCCAATTGCCTCTGCCTCCTCACACCAGTTTGCAGCATGACCTCTGGATGGCATCCAAAGGCTCTCCTGTGGGGCTGCCGCAGCCTTTCCTCCCGGTCTTGGGACACGGACAGAACAGTTCGGGGTTGAGATGGACTCTTCTTTCTTTGGGTAACTGAGAACACAAACCTCTGTCAAGGCTGATAATTAATTAGACACGCTTAGAAGAGGATGCCAGTTTATGAACAAAAGTGAGAAAACTGAAACCCACATTTTAGCAGAGACGATGGAAAGGTTTCTTTTCAAGACTTTTAAATTCTTCTTGGAAGATCTGGGGTAGATGTCTGCATGATTGCTAGCTTGTCTGATCAGTTTGATTAGCTGTTACAAGAATGACAGTTAAATCTCCCCATCTCACCAAAGTGAAGAAATTAAAACTCATTTCAATTGTACTGCAACCAACCCCCAAACTGCCATGATTATATATTTCTAAGCCCTTTTATACACTTATCACCTTCTCTCACATCCCTGGCTGGGTGCCCAGGAACGGATGGCAGCAGTAACCTCTTTCCCTCTCCCTTGATGCATCCCTTGTGCCCAGAGCTGGGTGCAAAGACAGGCAGTGCTACCAGGCTTCCTCACCCCATCCATATCTGGCATGTAGCATCTACCAAAGGGCACTGCTTTCTTTTAAAAGCCTTTTGTCTTCACAGACACGCTGAGAGGATAATGGTAGAGTGGTATTTCTTTGTCCCTCACCCACTTCTTTCCCTTGTACCTGTAAGAGGAGCTCCACCACTATCACAGCTGTAGCCTTGCTAAAGCAGAAGCTGCCTAAATGGCTGCATCAGACCCTGGCTTTAGCATCTCAGCAGCCACATTTTCATTTAATTACACCTGTATCTCTTTAGAAAGTGCTTATATTAAAAACTTGGCTATTTGCTGAGGGCAGACATCTCCTACCTTCACCACAAATGAAAGACAAGGGCTTTTATTTTCTAATAATTAAAATAGACAAACTGATCTCAAAGCCTGCCAGACCCTGTTTGGAAGAGGTGCACGTTTCTGGCATGTTTATATATTCAGCAAAATCAGCTTCAGGACTCCATGGGGCTGAACTCCTGCCCTGGGCACCAGGAGGAGCTGCTGGAGGGGCTGCCCTTGATGGTGTGGAAGGGTTGGGATGACCCCAAAAAGCCAGGCTGAGGCTGGTGGAGGCCCATCATGTTCTGGGGGCCTAGATGGCATAGGAGAGGCAGGTTCAAGGGGAAGCTCTTCTGTCCAGCCCAACTCCCTCAGTGCCTTTGCTTTTCCTTTGCCTTCCAGGAAATTCCCTTTCATCTCAACACAGCACTTCTCATCTATTGATGTTTTTAAGGTCCATTCTACTCTTAGCTTGGGTGATTAACCACAGGCATCTTGGTTTGGATGAAGGCAGTAATTCCGTCTGTAATTCTCATCACTTTTCATAACTAATTCCATGTATCACACTGAGGTGTCTAACTCCATACCATACATCTCCATGGCCTGGGTGGCTACAGCTGTACTGTGATGTGGAACTGGGGGAAGGGGCCATCCCTTCCCAGCATCACTGACTGATGGCACTTGTTCAGCTCCCTCCCCCTCCCAAGCCTTCTGTGCTGTGCATTGCGCCACACCAAATTACCCATCTTCAGCCTTTCTCGGCTTCTCAGCATCTATCTCAGCAGTGTCACCCTTTGGTCAGGGCCACCTCTGTTGGACAGGCTGGTGCCCCTGGTAAGATGCTGTGGGACTCACATAAGCTGTGGTGTAACTTGCTGTTTTCCTTCTCCCAGATTTTATCTTCCAGAAGGAGCTGTTCGCTGCAAGAGACACAGGTGAGCCGAGCAGACCATGGCACGGGCGTTGTGGGTTAGGCCCCTCTTGGGGAGTGCTTTGGCAAGGTCAGTGGGACATGCCTGAGGCATACCATAAACCTGCTCTTGTCCCTGGGGCAGGGCACTGGCTCCATGCTGTGCTGTTCTGGCAGTGAGTGCTGTGTGTGCCTCCCCCCTGGGCTCTGCAGTCCTCTTTCCCCCAGCCCTCTGGTCTCCCTGTCTGCCTTTCTGGGGCACATGAGGTTGTGCTCCCACTGGGATATGCAAAGAAGGGACCATCACATGCTGGACATGTCCTAGCCCCATTCCTGCTTCTCTCCCTGCAACTCGTGTATCTCCTCTACTGCTAAACAGGGAGACAAAAAAATGCCTCGAGCAGCCTACTGGAGTGGCAGAGAGAAGTCCAGGAATGTCAGGAGATTTTTTGAGCACTAGCCAACAGCAGTGCTGGCCTGGGAAACTGAGGAAATGCTTCCAGGACAGGCTGGCAGGTCTGATATTCTCCCTTTCTGTCCTCGCTCTCCTTGCAGATCCCATGCACAACCTCTCTGCTCAGCCCTGGCAGACAAAGATGGCCAACCTGACCTATGACAACTTCACCCTGGGCAACCACTCTGAAGTGGCCCTGCAGCCTCCCACCAACTACAAGACAGTGGAGCTGGTTTTCATCGCCACTGTCACTGGCTCACTCAGCCTTGTCACTGTGGTTGGGAACATCCTGGTGATGCTCTCCATCAAGGTGAACCGCCAGCTCCAGACTGTCAACAACTATTTCCTCTTCAGCCTGGCCTGTGCAGACCTCATCATCGGGGTCTTTTCCATGAACCTCTACACGGTCTACATCATCAAAGGCTACTGGCCACTGGGGGCCGTGGTGTGTGACCTGTGGCTGGCTCTGGACTATGTGGTGAGCAATGCCTCTGTCATGAACCTGCTCATCATCAGCTTTGACCGGTACTTCTGTGTCACCAAGCCCTTGACATACCCGGCCAGGAGGACCACCAAGATGGCAGGGCTAATGATTGCGGCCGCATGGATATTGTCCTTCATTCTCTGGGCTCCTGCCATCTTGTTCTGGCAGTTCATTGTGGGCAAGAGGACAGTCCCCGAGAGGGAGTGCTACATCCAGTTCCTCTCCAACCCAGCGGTGACATTTGGCACAGCCATTGCTGCTTTCTACCTGCCTGTGGTCATCATGACAGTGCTGTACATCCACATCTCCCTGGCCAGCAGAAGCAGAGTAAGGAGGCACAAGCCTGAGAGCAGGAAAGACAGGAAAACCAAGTCCCTCAGATTCCTCAAGGGCCCCGTGGTTAAACAGAACAACAATAACTCTCCCAAGAGGGCTGTAGAAGTGAAGGAGGAGGTGAGGAATGGGAAAGTGGATGACCAGCCATCTGCACAGACAGAGGCCACTGGCCATCAGGAGGAGAAGGAGACATCCAATGAGTCCAGCACTGTCAGCATGACCCAGACTACTAAAGACAAGCCCACAGCAGAAATCTTGCCAGCAGGGCAAGGACAGAGTCCAGCCAACCCCCGGGTGAACACAACTTCTAAGTGGTCCAAGATTAAGATTGTCACCAAGCAGACTGGGACTGAATGTGTCACCGCCATTGAGATTGTCCCAGCTAAGTCAGGTGCCTCTAACCACAACTCCCTGGCCAACAGCCGCCCAGTCAATGTTGCCAGGAAGTTTGCCAGCATTGCCAGAAGCCAAGTACGAAAGAAGCGCCAGATGGCTGCCCGAGAGAAGAAAGTCACCCGAACCATATTTGCCATCCTGCTGGCCTTCATACTCACATGGACGCCCTACAACGTGATGGTCCTCATTAACACTTTCTGTGAGACCTGCGTGCCCGAAACAGTGTGGTCCATCGGCTACTGGCTCTGCTATGTCAACAGCACCATCAACCCAGCCTGCTATGCCCTCTGCAATGCCACTTTCAAGAAAACCTTCAAGCACCTTCTCATGTGCCAGTACAGGAACATTGGCACAGCCAGATAAACTGGTACTCAGGGACCACTTCAGTAACATTATGGAAACCCTTCCCTTTGCCTCCTTTGCCAGCGGGGGTTCTTCTGCTCCCCACTCACAACAGTGCAGACTGTGCAGTGAGTGCAGATGATGCCCTTCATCCAACGCTGACAAAAATCCAAGGTGTCTCTGAGTTGCAGGTCCTTCCAGTCACCCTGGGCCTGGGGACTAGCTCGGGGACCCACCGGGAAAGCCAGAGGCAAGAGGAGATGTGGTCACCAGGAGCCCTTCCCAGCTCCACGCTCTTGAGATTGGCCAAATGGCATCAGTGTTTTTCCTAAGACTGGATGTACCTTTTTCCCCAGCTGACCATCTCCAAGGTATCAGAGCTTGTCTGCATGCAGATGGGCTAATGCTGGATGCTTTCCATTGGCTTCTAAAGTGTTTATTACCCAAGAAATGAAAAGAAACCAGGGTCAAACATTTGCTAGGCATCTTGGACCAGGCTGGCTCAGGCATGCTAATGGGGAGTCCTGCTGGCCCAGCCAGGCCCCCTGCGAAGGCAGTCAAGATTGGACCCTAACAGATGTGGCAAGATGCTTCCTTTCCCTTGAGAGTGCCATCGGACATCCTCACCCAGGGACCTGGGGCAGAATTTTTCCTTGGGCTCTGACTTTGCTCTCCCCTTCACACACTTTCTGCCCTCAGACAGTAATTTGCTGAAAGACAGACAGACAAACCAAGCATTTCACTCCTGGGTGAGGAGTGTGAAACCCAGTCGCCTCTGACAACAATGGAAACTAAAACTGCAAAGAAAAGAAGTGGTGTGGTGCAGGACTTCGCTCCACAGCCCTGGGGAAATGGGGGCCCTGAGAAGTGGGCAACAGTGACTGTGAAAATAACTGTCCTTGGGAGGGACCAGGGGGAGCTGGGGGTCTCAGAAGAGGGTGGGAAGAGGGTCTGCAACGTGGCCAAGGTGCCCCGTGTCTCATCTGGGCCATGAGCTCTCCCCACAGTGGGTAGGAGGCATGGCTCTGGAGGCAGGAGAGGATGATGGTGGCCTCCAGCCCCACTCCTGCCCTGAGTGCAGGGGGCTCCTCCAGGGAGGCCAAAGGAGCCAGTTGCTGAGCTTTGTAAATGGATGTAATGCTGTCATGGGTGTTGCGGCAGAGCCCTCAGCATGCGGGCTTCAGCCAGCGTCTCCAGCCTCCTCCCAGCCCACCCGTGTGTGCAACCCAGAGCACCCTGGCACAGCTCCCTAGCTTCTCCCAAAGCCAGGTGAAAGCCTTGGTGGACACAGCCAGGTGCAGGCAAGGGATGGGGCCACTCTAGTGCTGGCAAACTCTGTGTCCATATGTCCTTCCCGTCCTCATGCCAGGGTGCAACTTGCAGAAAGGCTGCCCCAACCCAGATGGGAACCCCTCCTACACTGCCTTTAGGGGTACCCAAAATGCCTGGTGGGTTTCTGGGTATTTTTAAATGGTTACAACTGCAGCCCAACACACTCCAAGACAAATAAAGACCTTGGATCAGGAAACTAATGGCCATGGTGTGAGGAATGAATGAGTCATCACTCAGGTGGCTCCTTCCCTGCTTCCCAGTGTCACCCACTGGTGATATTTCCTGCAGTCCATCCCTTCTGCCAAGATTAAGGGGGATGGGGGCAGCCTGAAGTGTTGTTGGAAAGAGGCTGTGAGGTCTAGTGCTTTGTTCAGGACCACGTGCATGTGGCATCCAGGCCACCACCACCAGCTGCATGGTAACTTCACTGCTGGTGCCAGTAGGGTCAGCACACCTGGGGGTTCCTGGGGCTTCCAGCACAGCATTACCTTGTGGGGACAACAGGGGCATTCTGATACTTTTTTTAAAAAGATTTTTTATTGGAAAAGAAAAAAAATTCCAAAAGGAGAGCTCCCACCCATCACTGGTCTTGGCATGGCAAAGGCAGAGGGGCTTCAGCCCCAGCATGGACACACATGGTTAGAAGTGACAGAGAGGAGACACGGTTGCTTCTCAGGGTGATGGTTGTGTTTTCCTCAACTGCTGCAGGTAAATCATGCCCCATCTAAAGGGATGCTGGAATAAACCCCCTGAGGTGAGAGTAGTCCTTGAGTGAGAAGCTTGAGTGATGGGGTTACTTGGTCATTCAACACCCAGCCCATCCCTCTGGCACTGGTACCCGGTGGAGGAGCAAGGAGGCTCCAGGGCTTGCAAAAGGATGTGCCAAATGCAACTCATTTGTGCTGGGATGTGTGTTCCATCCCAGCTCTCTGAGCACATCCCAGGGAACCCCAACACCAGCCAAGAGAAGGCGAGCAGGATGCAGGGGCAGTGCCCATGGGACAGCAAGGGAGGAGGCAGCCTATCCTGCAGGGTGGGTGGGTTTGCTCTCTACAACACTAATGATTAAAACAAGGCATCTCAGTGAAAGGAGTAAGGAGAGGAGGAGGAAGACTGTAGTGTGGGCCAGCTGCAGCTGGACATCCAGTCCTGTAGGCACCATGATGAGGAGCCGCTGAGGATGCTGGCTTCCTGCTCTAGTCTTTCCCCTTGCCCTTCTTTGCTGCATTCAAGAAGCACAGGAGACAAGAGTTAGTAGTGCATCTGCTGGCAGCCCTCAGTTCCACAGACACTGCTGTGGTAGAAACGTAGCCAGCATGGCTGGCTGAGGACAGTGCAGTGGCTGCATCCCTGCAGGCAGCTTCCTGCCATGCCAAACCACATTTTGTACCAGTCCTGGTGTGAAGAGAGCAGGGAATCCCCATCCCACCAAAGATGGCAGTGGTTTGTGGGGGGGACTAGTGTTTTTCCTAGTAGCACCTGCATCCCCCCCAGCCAGCAGCTGGACTTCACAGTGCAAAGGAAAGAGCATCCTACAAAATCCCCCACACCACCAGCAAAGCCAACCCAAACAGGCCAAGGTACCTCTGAAAAACCCCTGCCCAAGGTTGCAATGGGACCCTTCTGGGGACAGAAGTGGTGGGTACTGACCTTTGGACTTTGACTTGATCTTGGAGGAGCAGGGCTTGGTCACATAGACAGTCTCCTCACACTGGGCATTGTACAGGGCTTTCTTCAGGATGCCAGAGCGAGTCTTCAGGCCTGTCTGAGCACTACAGCCTCCCCAGCTCTCAAACTTGTACTTGCAGTCAGCTGGATGAAAGGGGAGAGACATCAGAACTAGCCAGGAGCTGGCAGGACACTAGGCCCCCTCACCCAGCACAGGCTGGTCCCCAACTCCATGTACCCACCTCCAAATTTCTTCTTCCAGTTGCAGGGGATCTTGCACTTGAGCTTCTTAGTCTCATCTTTGCAAGTTCCCTCACGGTAGCCCAGGCCACAGTCCTTACTGTTTGGAACACAAGGTCCCCAGCGCCAGTCCTCACACTTGGAGCCATCCTTCTTTGTCTTTTCTGTGCAGAAAAGTGGAGTGGGCGCTCTCTGCAGGGACAGGAGAGCATGCCCCACTCTTCCCCCCGCCCCATTGGTCCCCTGCCCCAGGCTGCCCCTCACCTTTCTTGTTCTTGCCAGCCTCGGCAGCAGCAGCCACCAGGATCAGCGCCAGGAGGAGGAGGAGGAGGCCCCGAACCTGCATCCTGCCTCTGGAGGAAGGAGAGGGTGAGGTGGGTTGGAGGTTGGGGTGTAGTGTGGTGTCGAGGAGGGGACGGTGGGCTGTGGGCAGCCTGTGTGGGAGTAAGACAGCAGCTCACATTGCACACACTCACCTACATGTGTGTGTACCCCCCTGTGCCCTGCTTGTTGCCACCCAGTGGAATATGTTCACTAATTGCAACAAGGTTAATTGTGTACCTCAACAACTGCCTCCCACTAGGGAGCTGCAGGGATGAGAGATTGTTCCTACCCCTGCAGCCCTCCCATTGCCCTGCATGTGGTCAAAATGCTCTCCATGGGGACCCCACAGCCCACACAGCATCTGGGGAAGATCCTACAGTTGGCTGCAAGTTGCCAGTCCTCACTCCCATATTTGTCTGTGGATCCTTTATCCATGACCCAGCGGGCTGCTGCCCCATACTGAAGAGCCTTTGGCCAGGGAACACAGCTCCCATAGTACCTTACTCCAGGGTTCAAGAGGGTGCCAGGGAGAAGGAAAAAAGCCCAGAAAAACAAATCTGCTTCCATGAGAGGTCTGAGAGTTAAATCCGTGGATTAAACACCAAAAAAAGAGCATCCACAGTGTGGGAGCTCATTGGAGGGATGGAGTGGGAGTGCCGAGCCCACTGCTCTCACCACCCATGCGTGCAGGGGGTGTGCAGATGTGCACACACCTGGGAGCAGGTTGGGGACAAGGGTGCACACACATTAAGGTTGGGCTCTGGGGATCATGCCCTTCCCCCTGCCCCAGTAGCCTTGGACCATGTGACAGCTCCCCTCTGGCTGCCACCATGAGACTCTGTGGGATGTGCCAACAATGGAGTCCCAGATCCTGCTTTCAGTGGGAACAGGAGTGCAGGCATACAGAGCCAGTGTTTCAAATCTGGAGACCCCTTTCCTGCTCCCCCAAAGCCCTTTAAGATGCCACCCATATCTGTGTGGCAGCAGCCATCCATAAAACACACAGCACCTGCCCCGGCTCTGTGATGGGCTTTGCAGAATTGGGCTGTAGAGGACAGGATGAACCACAGGCCCCAGGGGACATCAGCACAGGGAAGAGCCCGGGGTCAGCATTTGCTCCCTCCCCTGGGCTCCCTGGGCAGCGTGCCAGAGAGAGCAGCATCCCACATTATTCAGGCTCCAGTGCACTCACCTTTCATGCATCCGCCACCAAGCTGCCAGCTTTGCTCTGCATTGAACTGTCACAGGGAATTACACAGAATGGCTGGCAGAGGGCACAGTCGGGGTGAGATCTGCCTTCCCCCTCACCCAGCCCGGCTGGGAGCCATCCTGCCGAGCACAGCTCAGCTCTGTTCCCACCCATCTGCCCTCAAAGGGGACGAGGGCTCAGCCCAGATGGGATGGTTACAGATGACAAGGCTGGAGCTGAGTTGACTTACAGACATGGCTGTCCCACTTTCTGCAGCAGCTCTTATGGTGTAGCACCTCTGACATCCACATTATTCACAGCATCTCCCTGGTTTCAGGTGTTCTGTAAACTTCTCCCATCCTTTGCTGCAGAGCATTTCCCTGTGCTCCTTGCACCTACCTCGTAGCCCAGCACCTTCTGCTCAGACCCTTCTGACATTGTTTTCAAGCCCCCAGGGCAGACAGCCCCAGCTGATGTGCTCACTCCTGCCTCACCTCCAGGCACAGACTTCCTCTGTTTGCCATGGGTGCAGTGGGGGCCTGCCCATGCGTACACAGGGATGCTGGAAGGATGCCCTCTGAGGGCATGACCAGCTACAGCTCCAGGGACCCCTGAATTTGCTCCTAGGCTCGACCCAGCACATTGCATTCCCCAGGCAAAGGTCTGCAAAGACCTTCAGTCATGGCTCATCCTAAACCATTCTTAAGGAAAAGAGAGTGCAGTTTCCCAATCGGTTTTCCAAACAGCCAGGCAAACAAGGGCTGTTCCTGGCTGGGCTGACAGCACCTTCAGGCATGCTCACACAGCCCTTCTCCTCCTGTGTCCCTGTGGGGCCCCGGTTTCTCTCCTCCTCAGATGCTGTCTGGCTCTCATATAACATCAGTCCCTGTTCTCCCTTCCCCCCTCCTCTAGCTGCCCTGGGTTTTTATGATCTATGATCAGCTCTAAAAAGAAAAATAAAATCACCTAGTGAAGCTGAAGCAGAGCTCAAATACCCACTTATTGCAAAGGGAAAGCTTGGACCTCTCTCCAGACAGCATTCTGGCCCTGACTTCTCCTAATGTGGGCCACACATCCTCCCCAGCTCCTGATCCCTCAATGGTGTCCCCCTGTGCTCCTGGGAACGGAGCTGGCACCCCCCGCACAGCCCCTTTTCCAGCAGTGGGACCTCTCGGCTCTGTTTTGCTCGGCTCGAATCGCAGCTGGCTCTGGCAGCGGTGGGCGCAGGACTGCTGCCCTCCCTCTGCGGGCTGAGCTGCTTCCCAGGCTCCGTGCAGGCAGCCCTGCACTCGACGAGCCAGCCCAGCGCTCGGGAAGCCCGTGGCCTGGAGTGCCAAGCGACAGCAGCAAGTTCCGTGCTGCCAGGAAAAGGGGACCGAGCAAGAGCCCGTGAGCCAAGGCGTCAGCACGGCCAGGAGGCTTTCCTAGAGGTGCTGAGGAAAGCAGAGCCGGGGGGCTGTGGGGCTTTCCAGCAGGCGGTCTCACCTTCCCCTCGCAGAGAGGGGAAAGTGCTCCAAGGGAAAAGGGTTCTGGCCCTGCACTGGGGGCAGAGAGGGTGGAGCAGGCAGCCCTTCCACGCCTCTGCCCTCAGCTCCCTCCTCAGGGTACATGCTGTGCCCTCAGCCCCGTAGAGCCTCTTTCCCTCTCCCTCCGGGGAAGCGGGCAGTGGTCGAGCCCCGCTCCGGGGCAGCTCCCCGGGCTCCGATCGGAGGATCTCCACCAGCTGAGCTCTCCCTGAACCAGTGTGGGGTGCTTCCCCAGAGTGAAAGGGGTAGGATACCGGGCCACTACCTCAACCCGTCTGCTCTCCGGGAGCCCTGACTCCCTACCAAATTCCATCCGTCTGCATCTCCTGGCTCCTCACAGGCGATCCCGCACCGGGGGGTCACCGCCCCCGGTCCTCCGGCTCTAGTCGCCCTTTTCTGCAGCTCCTTCCCAGCCAGAGCCTATCCCCCACCCCGGCAAAGCTCCTTCCCGCTCCGGGGAGCCCTCAGCCTGGATGACTGCCGCCTTCCCGGGGAGGTGACGGGCGGTCGCCGCTGGCCGGGCCCGGGGCGCCCATGGCCGTGGCGTCGGGCGGGCGGTGCCGCCGTGCACGGGGCCCGGGGCCGGGGGCCCGACCCCGGGAGCTGTGGGCGGGGGGCCGCACTCACCTGCGGAGCGGAGCGGAGCTGCTGCCTTTGTGTGGCGGCCGCGTGCGGAGCCCCGAGCGGCGCACAGCGGCCCCTGACGTCGGGCTCGGCTGGCAGCAAAAAGGTGGGTTTTTAGCCCAAAACTTTTCGCAAGCTCCTCCTCTGCCCCCCGGCAGGCACAAAGGCAGGGCGGCGGGGGGGCGGCCCGGGGGCAGGCTGGCCCCTCGGCCGGTGGGGCGGGGGCAGCGCGGGCCCCTCGGCCGGGGGTGAGCTGGGCCCGGGGGGCGTCAGGTCCCGGGGGGCACGGCCCCTGTCCCTTGTCCCCTCTCAGCTTCCTACTGTGCTCTCCAGCCCGCACCCGCGGTACGGGTTCAGCTGACCAGGCACCCCATCCCCTCCGAGTGGCCGAGGGGTGCACAGCTGAACAGACCGGGCAGGTCTCCCCTGGGCCATGCTGCTCTTGAGTTCCGCTGGTAGATGGCCCCGGGGACACCCCCGGGCCGAGGAAAGAGAACCACCCTGTGTCTCCACCAGCTCCGCGGATGCCTCCTTCTCCATCAAGGCCACTGGCATCAATGGACCGACCTCTCGTGATCTCTGCCCTTTTCACCCTTCTCGGCTTGCTCTGCTTCTTGTGGGAAGCTGGCAGGAAAGGGGTACTTCTTAGCACCCCGAGCAGCACATCACTTACATGCTGCCCCAGGTGTCTGCCCAGTTCCATCCCTTGTGACCTGCCTGCCTGTTCCCAGCTCAGCCATGCTGCAGCCATTCTCCTTGGACCAACTGCTAGTATCCAACTGCCGGTGGGGCATGAAAAGGACCTTGCAGATGTGACTGCTCCTTTTACCCCATCCACCACCTTTTCTTGGGAGGTGAGCAAGGCAGCAGCCAAGCCAATTCTCTTTTGGAGTTAACAACCAAAAAGGACAGTGTCATGCCAGAAAAATGGGGTTGTGGTGGGGAATGGAACCATTTCTCCACCACTTATCCTGGAAGAAGTCTGCTGACAGCAGGGTTGCCACAGGTAGGGTTACAGGGCAGGGGCAGGGCTGTTTTTTATGAGCTGCTTCAAAACCAGGAATCACTTTCCAAAAGATTGCCACATTTAATTGTAACTCTGCCAGCAGTTTCCTAAACATCTGTAAAGGTTTTGAGGAGAGCTGGTAAATGTGGGAACGTGCCATCTCCCCTTCCTGCTGCACACACAGCAACAGGCACTGTTCTGTCTGGTGAGGGATCTGGAGATGTCAGGCTGTACATTTGAGCCCAGGATGCAGAAATGGATCCTGATAGCTGGGCAGGTAACAAAGCCAAATAGCCTCTACCCACTGCTGGGCCTTTAAACTCAAGCTGAAGAAAGCTGCTGAGACAAACTTCAATGTAAAAAAGAAGGACCTAGGTGTACATCAGGTTTGCATGTCTGAATCACAGGACTGTGATGAGCAGACCAGGGCCTATAGAACTGTTAAAGAACTAGGTGTGGAGTGAGCACTACTGCTTCTCTTCAGCTGTTTCTGGCCAGGAGCTGAAGATCTCACTGGAGTCCCCAGGGCACAGCAGCCTAAGGTATGGTGAAGCCCGGTGCAAATTTTCACCCCTTCCAGGGAACCAGGAGACAAATACTAGCTGTGCGAGAGAGCAGAGATGCATTGGTGCACATCACGCTCAGCAGTGGCTTTGCTTGGTCCCTTTGGCCTCTTT